TCACATTTCTCCAATGTTGAATTCGTAATTGTGAGATTTTATCCTTTAATTCATCCAAAGTATATTCGAGATTGAACTAATATTGGACTATATTTGACACTTATCTGAAAACTAAACTTACTTTCGGTTTGATTTTTTTATCATATTCTTTTCTTTCTTCTTTTCCTATTCGAGCATTCTTGGCAAGTAATAATTTTACAATATTAAAATTCCCTCCATAACATGCTCCATGCAATGCTTTCTAATAAGAAGAATTAATATTAAACTTCTTAATATTAATATTTGCTACATACATAAGCGTCAACATTAATTCCATCAAAGTCCAATAATAATTTTACAATTTCAAAATAGCCTTTTTCACATGCTTCACGTAACACTCTCTATTATAGATAATCATAAAAATCATTAATATAAATATACCATTCCATTATTCATTCCATTATTACATACAATTTGATTAACATCAATTCCATCAACACTCAACAATAATTTTACAATTTCTACGTATCCGTTTTGGCAAGCAAAAAACAACGGTCCCTATTTTCATATATAAATTTCAAAGATTTACATTCAACATCAAATAATTAATCTATGAAAACATACACATTTGTTTACATCAACTCCATCAACATTCAATAATAATTCTACAATTTTCAAATGTCCTCTGCCGCACGCTGTACATAATAATGTAACAATACCTTCATCGTCGGGATCATCTTGTTCATGATTAATAAATGGACGTAAATCAATGTGTCTCAAAAATTCAATGTTTCCTTCCGAAACTGCATGGAAGACTTGGTCGAATGTTGTTGACATTTTTTTGATCTTTTTTCAAAAACATTTTTAAACAATTTATTTTGGCGCAAACCAGAATATTTAATATTTTATTTAATAACAACAAATTAGTAAGGAGAGTGGAAATTTATTGTGATTCATATTTGTCACTGCCTTATTTTCACAAATATTTGTTCATGATTATAATTGAAATCTTCCATTGTTGCAACAGATGACAATTTCAAACAATTCATGAATAGTGTTTCAATTCTTCATAATTAGAAAATTACTTTC